GGCTCTGAGTTGTTAGCACAGAGCCCAACGCAGGGCTTGAACTCAGGAGCTACGAGATCATGACCTGAGCCGAAGTCAGACACCTAACCGACTGAGCCACCCACGTGCCCCTAATGTTTATTTATTTTTGAGAGAGAGAGAGCGTGAGTGGGGGAAGGACAGAAAGAGAGGGAGAGAGAGGATCTGAAGCGGGCTCTGCGCTGACTGCAGAGAGCCCGATGCAGGGCTCGAACTCACAAACTGAGATCGTGATGTGAGCTGAAGTCAGATGCTCAACAGACTGAGCCACCCAGGCAACCCCTCTCTGCAGCTATTAAAAAAAAAATAGTGATGTAGGGGTGTCTGGGTGGCTCAGTCAGTTAAGCATCCAACTCTTGATCTCAGCTCAGGTCTTGATGTCAAGCTAGTGAGTTTAAGCTCCGCACTGGGCTCCACACCTATTTAAAAAAACAAAACAAAACATGAAGATCTTCATGATTACTAGTCATTGAAAAAATGACAGACATAAAACAGTCTAGACAACAGACAACAAAAGATATAGACATAGTCAAAACAATATGCTACCTTTCATAGTAGGAAAAAAAAAAGGAGGGGAGAGGAGAATAAAAATGTTTTTTCCTTTTTACCCAATAATCCTACTCTGGTTATTTACCCACAAATAAGAAACAATAAATACATATGTCATTCAATGTGACACTATTTTGCAATAGCAAAATGTTGGAAGTAACCTAAATGCAACTGTTTGAATAAACTATGGTATATCATTCAATGGAGTACTACATAGATGTAAAAAGAATGGAGATGATCTCTATTAATTGCTGTGGAATGACTTCCAGGATATACTGTTAAATGAAAAAAGCAAAATACAAACAGGTATAAATACTATGCTATCTTTTGTGCAAAAAGGGGGGGGGAAGGGGAAAGAATATACATACAAATTTGCTTATTTTTGCAAAAGAAGCACAGGAAAAGTAAACCAGACACTAAGGAAAAAAAAAAAAATGGCCACCAAAAAAATGTGATAGAAGAGCTAGGATGAGTAGTGAGACTTCCCTGGGCAAAAATTTATACATACTTTGTACATATAATATCTTACATATTCAAAAATGTACACCAGAAAGAAAAGCAATTCTAAAAGTGAAATAAAATCAAATGAAGCTAACTGTACAGGAAACTGATAACAACCACATAGAAAAAAGAACTAGCCAAGTAACTTTATCAGAGCACTCTGTGTTCTCTTAAAAGGATACATCTCAAGGACAAAAATAACTGGAAAGAAACCTGAAGTATAAGCAACTTTACTGTTACTGTTGGTATAGTGTAGCAATGCTGAAACCTTGTCACGTGTACCCTAAGAGAGGACATATGATGTCCGGGGTTGATGTCGTTGGAACCTGGGTTCTCACTGTTAAGAGTTTGGAGAGAGAATATGCAATGTGGGAAAGTAAGAGCCCAGGAAAAACAAGTTTTTTATACATGTTTCGGTATCATTACATCTTAGTATTATTATGGAAATAGTTTTTTTTAAGTTTTATTTATTTATTTTGAGAGAGAGAGAGAGTGTGCGAGTGCAAGCAGGGGAGGGCAGGGAGAAAGAATCCCAAAGCAGGCTCCAGGCCGTCAGCACAGAGCCCGATGTGGGGCTCGAACTCACAAATTGTGTGATCATGATCTGAGCCAAAATCAAGAGTCAGACGCTTAACCCACTGAGCCACCCAAGTGACCCCGGGACATCTTTCTGAATTAAAAATCACGTAAATGTATCATCTGTTCAAAAATATAAATGGAAAAAAACAAAAAAAGGCAGAAGAGGATGAGCTGGCAAAGAATGAGAAGGAGCAGCCACTGAGGCAGGAGGAAAACCAGGAGAGCATGGGGTCTCCAAAGCCAAGAGTAGACAGTGGACAAATATGACAGATGCCACTGCGAAGTCTGGCATGAAAAGAGCCGAACACTGAGGTGCATATAACATTCAAAAACATCAAGTCATCTGTGACCCTGCAAGAATTGTTTTGACGGCCATGGAGATGTGTGGGGTGGGCAGTAGAAGCCAAATTACAGCTAGCTGAACAAGCTAGCAAACTGAGAGTAGACACAGACAGCTCTTTGAAGAAGCCTGCCTAGGAAGAGAATAGAGATAGGTGAGATATGGGATCCAGAGAGGGCTGCAGCTGATGATTGTTCAAGATGGAAATAAGCTAGGGATGTGAAAGATCAAGGGAAAGGTTGCATTTACAACAGACACAGAGGTTAACCGGAAAAACAAGCCCCTAAAAAGGGGAGAAGCACGGGGTCAAGGAGGTGGGACAAGCCCCAAAGCTAGCAGATGGGAAGGAGAACATGATGCAAGCACATACAGGCTTGAGACCCTGGAGAGGACAGTAAGAGTCCCCTCCTTGTATCTGCCTCAATTTTGTTTATTGTATAGGAGACAGGATGGGGTTGAGAAGGAAGAGGTAAGGGTGGAGAACCCAGCTAAGTCAATGGACAATTACAACACAGCCTGAGAGATGCCCTGGAAGAACAAGTACAAAAAGCTGTGGGAACAGAGGAGCACCTCCCTGGTCTGTCCTGGAGGAGTCACAGAGGGCTTCAAAGAAGAAGCAATATCAGAGCTGAATCCTGAAGGATGAATAGGAGTCGGCCAGGAGAGGATAGGAAAGCAGGTGAAGGTCAGGAGAGCAACAGCATGCATACTCAAGGGATTGAAAGGGTAGAGCAAGAATGAAGCTCAAAGTGAAGGGAGGGAAGGAAAGGCAAAAATAGTGCTGAAAGGTAGGAGGGGCCAGGTCATCCTGGCCTTGAAGGCCACCGGCAGAATTTGGGCTTTATCCTCAAGAGCCTTGTGAGCCACTGAAATATTACATTCCTCTTCTTTTAAAAAATATAGCCTTGGGGCACCTTGGTGGTTGAGTCGGTTAAGTGTCCAACTTTGGCTCAGGTCATGATCTCAGGTCATGATTCGTGAATTTGAATCCCACACTGGGGGTTCTCAGCACTGAGTCCACTTCAGATCCTCTGTCCCCCTCTCTCTCTGCCCTCCACCACTCATGTTCTCTCTCTCTCTCTCTCTCTCTCTCTCTCAAAAATAAATAAATAGGGACTCTCTCAAAAATAAATAAATAGGTTCAGTCAGTTGAGTGTCCGAATTCGGCTCAGGTTGCAATCTCATGGCTCACAGTTGAGCCGGCAACCTTCCGGAAGGAAAATTGTCAGGTCCCACTTCCCGGAAAAGCTCTCATTAGTGGACAGTGTGTAGGCCACATGGAATTTACCATGCCTCTCACTCACTGGAGCTCTCTCTCTCTCAAAAATAAATTAACTTAAA